AAAGAGAAAAGATAAATCAAAAGGGAGGTGGAAAGAAGAAAAACAGAAAATAAATTCGAAGTAGGGGGGAAGGGGAATGAAGAAGTGAAGGAGAAAAGAAAGAAATAGGTGGGGGGAAAGAAAAAGATGAAGTGGGAGGTAGGGGGATGGTGTGGTGGTAGTTGGGGGAGAGGAGGGTGGGGAAAGGTGGAGAGAGATCAAGAAGGAAGGAGAAAAGAAAGAAAGAAAAGAAGAGATGAAAAAAATAGAGTAAAAGGATGGGTGGTGGGAGAAAGGTGGGGTGGGGAAGATAAAAGGAGGAGAGAAAAGATGCAATAGAAGGTGGGGAAAAGAGAAGGGGTGAATAAGAGGAGAGTGGGTTAGTAGAGGGAGAAGGGAGTGATACCTGGCCCTTGGTGTCTCCAAGGGCACAAGGTACACCAAGACCAGGAGGGTCTTGGTCTTTGCTGCAGCAACCAGTTGGAGGAGAGAGGGGGGGCTGAGATCTTGATCAGCCCCCAGCAGCACTTCTGCAAATGTCCAGATGTAGGGTCTGCTGTGTGAGCAGGCCCTCTCCACTGTAGAGCAGCCCCCTAAGCAGGGGGTTCTTCAGTCCCACCACAGGCTGCCACATGGCCGTGGAGATGGCCACGTGCACAGGCAGCAGCATCCACGGGGGGGGGGGGGTAAATAGCCAGCACGGCACCTCTTCAACACGAGTGTGCCGTGCTACAGAGCTATGGACACACTGTGGTGAGTGTGTTATGAGGCTGCTTACGCACGCGCATGGCTCGGCAGGTGCCTGGGTTCAAATGCCAACGGCAGCAAAAACTCCCGGATCTTGATAAGATAAATCCGGGAGGGGAGCGGAGCGGGGCGGGGCGGGGCAACGTGGGCGCGTGCCGCGCGCGCGCGTGCGGCGGCCTTGGCCTTGGCGCCCACGCGCTCGTCCTGGCGTCTCTCTTTTCCGCCACGTGGTACCTACTGCACACGCCACTTTTCCCCTGCGTTTTCACTGAAAAACGCCCGAAAACAGCGAAAAAAACCGATGTCGGGTTTTGCTGTTTTCCTTAGCTGTGAGTGGGGAATGTGGTGGTGGGTGGGGAGCGGGGAACGTTCCCGCTCCAATACCAATGTAGCGGACCCACCAGGTGTGGTGCTCCGCTAGTGACAGAGATGGAGATGGAGGAAGAAGGGGGGAGCGAGATGGCACAACGCAGCTCCCCACGCAAGACTCCAACGCACGTACTCCAAAATGTGCCAGTGAAGAATGAGACTGAAAACAGACAATGGCTGGGGTATACCCCAGCGGACTGACGGGACTGGACTGGACTGGCTGGTACGGACAGAGGTACCGGCCTGGACTGGCCTACCCCGAATACAACACAGGCCTGTGAGAACAGGCCAAGGGGGCTGGTCTCACAGGCCAACCCGAGGTCAGCTACACAAAACTATAATCACTACACTAAACACCTATATCTGCCAACAACAAACCAACGTTGTTATTAAGTAACCCTAATCTAGGTAATTCCAATCCGCGGTGCTTACCCTAAACACCTATAGTCAGTGTTCCCAATAATACTCACAAAATTCCTTCTCTACATGACCGTAAAAGGGGAGCAACAAATCTACAGATTATGATGCCACTAGCTACCCACCACGCGCAGCACTAATTACCCCAATCCACGAAACACCTAATCTAAAACAATGATTCCTATATCTCAACACACAATTAACTAGAAAAAACGAACAACGACAAAAGCGTGTGAAGCCGATTGTTACAATCCAAGTCTTCCACCGATGAACAGGACGCCGGTGACATAACTGAAACAGGGTCACCAACCTATGGGCTCACGTGCAATTCCACTCAACTCCAAAACGCAGGCTGAAACATCTCATCCAGCAGCACCAACGCGCCAATAGCAAAGGAAGAACGTAATCAGTCGATCCGTCGTCCCAACATAGGCACAGCATCCCGAATGTCGATGCAGCGTACACCAAGTGCTTCAATCAGCATCTCCAAGCTCAGTCGAAGTCCTCTCCCTATTCTTGGGTTCCGTATCTGAAACCAGAGGACAACGCCCCTGATCGGTTGATAATTCTGGTATAACAGCGACGTCCAGATCCCGCCCGCTGACCGTCTCCACATTGCTCTCCTATCCTTCCACTGTCAGCCAGGATTACTGACCCCTGTCAGCCGGGACTGGCCCATGGCAGGAGCATGGCAGTGCCCCTCTGCACGTGTCCCGCACAGCGCCCTCGCGCCTTCCTCCCCCAGGCGCCGCCACCCCACCAACAAGTTCTGGCACAGCACCGCCTTCGTTGCGGCAGCACCAACGGGATCCTCCGTTGCCCAGACGCCGCCCCCTGGCGGCACGTGTTAGCGCTAACGCGCACACCGCCTCTGCACTGTGGCTTTTTGGCTAAGATCAAGTGTAGTATCTGTTCTGATCAGTTTAATATCTGAAAAAAAAATAAAAATAAAAAAATCATCAACTACAAATCGTGGTACATCATACATCAGGTTCGGCGTCCCCAAACCGAATCATCATCATCACTACATATATAACTATCGCTAAGTTCCTGCCTGTTCCTCCGATATTTTGCTGCACGACGGTCCGGATCGTCTGCTGATCGTTTTTTCCTTAGAAGTTGAACCGTCGCCAGGGCCAGTACTGGTCCCGCATCCCAGTGCTGGCACCATGCTTGGTACCGGGCCCGCGCACCAGAGCCGGTACCACAGAAGGTAATGGGCCCCCGCGGTAGCACCGGTACTGTCGGACGTTGCCGGGCCAGCGCCGAGCGGCCACACGTAACAAACTTTTTGCGATTTTGGGAGGCAGTGCGGGAAAAACCGCGTGGCCCACACCAGCCCAGCCCTGCCCTCCAATCGACTTTGGGCTACACCGATCGACTCCGACTGACTTCACGCTGCTATGGTCGACTACGACTTCGTTCTACATTGGACACACGTGCACGCTCGCACGCAGACACACGCGCACGCACGCACACACACACACACGCACACGCACACGCACGCACACACGCACGCATGCACGCACGCACGCACGCACACACGCACGCACGCACGCATGCACGCACACACACGTGAACGTGGTGAGTCCTTGGCCATCAGTAAAGTTCGTCTTGGGCGGACTGTCGGGGTTCAACCTCCTGATGAGTCGGTGGAAGTCCGACGAAACAGTCTGGCGGAGTCATTTTGTGAGTTCTGTATAGCGAACAACACTCACACATAGTCAGACTCACCCACACAGAACACACACACACGCACACACACACACACACACACACGCACGCACGCACACAACACTCACACATAGTCAGACTCACCGACGCAGAACACACACACACACACGCACACACACACACACACACACACACACACACACACACACACACAACCACACCCATCCACCCAGGATACACCATCTCTGCATCCTGAATGTTGGACGCTGAGGCTTGAGCTGTGCAGCGTCAAGGCTTTCCAACGACCGCACCTTGATGACTGACGGTGAGTTTGTTATTGGTGTCTGTTGCTTTCGTTTTTCGTGGTCTTGGAACTATGAGAGAGAGAGAGTGTGCGTATGTGTCCGCGTGTCCCCGCGTGCGCGTGTGTGTGTGTGTGTGTGTGTGTGTGTGTGTGATCACGTGTAATATTTGTTTCGATCAGTTTCATATCCGATCCTACCCCCCATACGATCAAGCGTAGTAACTGCTCTGTTCAGTTTCATATCTGATCCGTGGTCCATCGAGACCTTTTTCTTTAATAAAAGACAAAAAAAGCACGCGCGCGCTCGAGCGATCGAGCGAGAGAGAGAGAGAGAGAGAGAGAGAGAGAGAGAGAGAGAGAGAGAGAGAGAGAGAGAGAGAGAGAGAGAGAGAGAGAGAGAGAGAGAGA